GGGCGATTCTCTGGCTGCAAGTGGAACCTAAATTTTGCGGCCAGAGAAGTCTGTAACTTGAAAAGTCTGTAAGTGGAGCCGTCTGTAAGTCGAGGGTCCACTATAATAGGAGATGGGCATTTGTCTTTCTAATGACCATAATCGTTGTTTAACCACTGTAATGAAAAGAGAAGGTTTTTCCGTTCCAAACCTCAGGCAACTGGCTGCCAGATCTGGGATGTCTTTTTTACAAAGCATAAGCTCTGGGTCTCAAAGGTGGATGGCAGAAATCTTACATACAGAATAATCTTACTATGGTCGAAGCCAGTTACATCTCTATTTGAAAAGTAATTTATAGAAAAGCAAGTTGAAATATATCTCTACCCCTGTGATGCCAATGATAGGGAAAGGGTTTAAAGGGCTGTTTGAAGTGTCCCCACAACCGGTACCACGAAACCCTGGTGCCTCCCAGGGTCTCTGCACCTCCTGGTTAGATCACTGGAAAAGTGGGATTAGGGTCGTCCTCATACCAAGTTGTCGGATTGGGTCCCCGTGCTTGCTTCTTTCTTAAAGGAGCCCGTGGTCTGTTTCTTTTCTCTTTGTGTTTTTCTTTTGGGTGGGTGGGGAGTATGAAAGCTGGGCATTTTGAGGGGTGCCTAAGATTAATCTCCCCATTGCTTCCCATTGAGATGAAATCCTCAGGCTGGGGGCCCCAAGAAAGCTCTTTGAAACTTTGGGTGTTTTCTGTCTGACGGTGAAACGGGGCCCTCCCCCAAACCCTCAACAAAAGTACCGAAAAGCCAGTTTTAATGACCTTGGAGGGCAACGCCCAGAAAGAGTTTCTTGAATGTTTGCTGAGCGTCCAGTCTCCATGGAGATTCTTCTTTTTTGCAAAGAGAATGCCTTTACCAAAACAAGGGGTTGCGGGTTGGGTGTGTGTGTGTGTGTGTTGGGGAAGGAGGCATGCCCAGCTGGCAGCATGGAGCTGAATGGTTGTTAATCCTTTCCTGATTACGAGCCCTCATTTTGCCTTTGAAGTAGCCCATTTCAAGCAACCCTGCATTCTCATCAGCTTTGCTCGTTAACTGCTGGCTTGATGAGCCCCTGAATCTAAAATTATATTTCTCTTGCCTGAGCAGCCTAATTGGACATTTTCACAGGGACGACAACAGAAGAAACTTCCTTTTGCGCTCACCTGCTGTTTATTGGGGGGGGGGCTGCAGAGATATCTCTTGTGCCACCACCCTTGGCGCAGAATTACATCGTTCCTCGAAACATGTTAGTGTGTAAGACCCCAAATAAGGTGCGTCGGAAGCTGCCTTACACATAATCAGACTCCTGGCCCACATTGGGGAATCCTCACAGCAGGTCCCAATGTTTTCACGGAGGGTTCTTTCCTAACCCAGCCTGGAGATGTGGCAGATTGAGTTTTGGACCTTCTCTGAAATGGATCTGCTTTACCAGCGAGCTGCAAACTCTCCTGTGAGCCCCTTCCTTGTTTAGAAATGCACAGCACCCTTCTCTGGTTGTTTCATATAGCTTTCCAAGTTCCTTAACCAGAGTTATTGCTTGGCTACTCCGTGTCAATCCGTGATTGCTTGGGAAAAAAACAACACTGAGCTATCCGGCCAGCATCATCCTCATCATCACACCCGAGATATGCCTTTTGGAAATGCCGTTGGGAAAGATAGCAAAGTAGCAGTTCCGTTCCCCACTGTGTAGAAGAGCCAGCCCGTGCAGTCATGGGCAAGCTGCACAGTCCCGTCCCCCAAGAAGAAGAAAAATAATTATGGGCCATAGTAGCCCTTTCCAAGGTTTGCTGACTACAAAATACTAAGTAGTAGTTTAACAATGCCATCTTCTGGTGCCAATCTGGCTGGCTGTTCTACGAGAGTTAGTGGGGAGTTAAATTCTTGACCCTTCACAGTTTGGGACCTTACTGCTTGTCAGAACATCATCCCCTGAGAACATCAGCCTGCGCCACATGGTCCTTTCAAGCCTTGCTCTTCTGAGTTGTCACACCGAGAGAGGCTGGGAGGATGTCTAGAAACTAGACCTTCTCAGTTATGACTCCATCCCTACGGAACGGGCTTCCCCATAGAGGTGTACCTGGACCCCTCCCTCCTAGCCTTCAAGAGGATGCTCAAAACAAGGCTGTTTACTGTTTACTTTGAGGGCATCCTCTCCTCGTGTTTATATGGTTTTCTTATTCCAATGTTGCCTGCTCTGCCATTGTTTGTTTGTTTGCTTTCCTTGTAGACCTATAGCTGGTGGATTATATTTTGAGGATTTGCTTATTTATTTGGATGTGATTCATTGTTTTTGTTATATGATATGGTATTTACTTTACTTTGGATGTAAACTGCCCCGAGTATTTCCTAGCAGTAACTGGGTGGGATAAAAGTTAATGGAAAAAATAAATAAATAATGAAAGGCTGGATGGATGGATGGATGGATGGATGGATGGATGGATGGATGGATGGATGAATGAATGAATGAATGAATGAATGAATGAATGAATGAATGAATGAATGAATGAATGAAAGAAAAATATTAAAAAACCTAAAAATACTGTTACCAATTCAGATGTAGGCCATATTGAACTGAGTTGACTGAATCAGTTTTAGAGAGGTTTCTCTCTCGATTGGTAGATACTTTGCTCAGGCCCGGTTGACCAAGTGAGTCAAATACGTAGCTGTTTACAGGACTGCAAGTGGCAGAGGTTTCACGGCCTCTCCTTCCATAGCCTAATGGTTTCCTTAGCCCAACTATTGTGCCGTGTGTGGAGGATGACCTGCTCACAGCCCTGATGTTAGCCTGTCATTCGGCACTCCCCCTCATCCCATTTCCAAACACTCAGAATAATTTATTTATTTTTTAGCAGTGTGTGGATTTGGAGGCACCACCGTGTCTGAGACCTCGTATGCTGGTTTTCTTCAGCTCACACGCTGTCAGAGAGACACAAATGACATCTCAAAAGCAAAAGGTGTTAAATAAAACACTTGCTAATAAGTCATACTGCAAGCAGGCAGGCTGAAGGTTTGAAGCCGTAAATCAGCAAGCAACTGGAAAGCAGCCAGCTGCTGCTGCATAATTCAAAGCCTCTGGATTTCAGGGAAGGAGGCGAAGATGAGAAACTAAATGCTCCCATCTCTTCTCTGAGTTTGCTATTCAGTTTCTCTGTTGCATTCCAAATACTACTGAGAGTGACTAGAGGATTGAGGAAATTGGAAATATGACTTAGTAGCTTGAGAAGCTGTTAGGATAGAATGTTAGTTTGGCCACAGAAGACTCTTGATTCCATTCCTTAAAGTGTTTCCTGGAAGATACTGATCGTCTGGATCCATTTCAATTGAAGTTCAAGCTGGGCCATGGGGCTGGGACAGTTCTGGTTGTGCTGCTCACAAGGGAGGCTGATCAGGGGAGTGTAACCCTGTTGGTCCTCCTGGATCTCTCGGAGCCCTTTGATAGCCATGGTTTCCTTTCGGATAAGCTATTATGATGGCTCCAATCGTTTCTCGACGGCCATGTCCAGATGTTGTAACTTGGGTAGGCTGTTTCGACGCCATGGGTTCACTTGTGGAGTTCTCTTGGTGGAGGTCATCCAGAGATTTGAAGTCTTCGATCATCAATATGCTGATGATATGCAGCTCTTTCTCCCCTTCACATCTTCAGCAGTGGAAGCTGGGCAGACCCTGGAGCATTGCTTGACCTCGAGAAGGGACTGAAGTTGAATCTTGACAAGATGTACATCTTGCTGTTGGGAGGGGAACCCCACCAGTTGGGTGGACTTTGCCTGGTTTGGATGGGGTTTACATTCCCCCTAGAAGACAAAGTCAGGGAAATTGGGTGTGGTTCCAGACCCATCTCTCTATGGAGAAGCAAATTTTTGCAAATTTTTGCCATGACCGGGTCTGCCTTTTTTTTCAACTGGTAGATTGCACAGTTGCGGCCCTTCCTGGATGGGAAATCCCTGACCATGCATTGCTAATCTCAAGGATCAACTACGTACCTTTGAAGGCACCACAGAAGCTCCAGCAGGTGCAGGCTGGATTTGGGGGACACTGAAATATGATCCTGTTTCCTTGATCCTGGCAGAGCTGCATTGGCTCCCTGTTTGCTTCCATGCAAAATTCGAAGTCTTAACATTGACTTAGAAAGCTCTGAATGGTTTGGGACCTTGATAGCTGTCAGATCATCTCTTCTTAAGACTATGCCCAAGTTCTTCTCAGGTTTTCTTGCTGCAAGTGGCTACCCAGGGGAGACTTTAAAAAAATGATAACTAGGAACTGGGCTTTTTT